GCATATAGCTAAAATCTAACGATGATTATAGCTGCATTCTGGCGCGATAAGTTGTATGTTTTATATTCAATTAACGTATGATCCAATTAGTCGACTAATCGAAAAAAATAATCGGTGATTATTCGACTATAAAAATAATCGTTTGTGGCAGCCCTATAAGATGCAGACACCTCATATAATAAGTTGCAAGGATCTTTATAAATAAAAAAGGGAACATGTTGTGAGTGTTGGATGAAGTCCACGGACAAGTCAGCTACCTTCTTTCAACACAGAGAGGCCAGACCACACACATCGTCGCATTGGAGCTTTTTTTTTCTTAGCTGCACACCTGCAAAGTTTTATGACTTACAAAGGATACAAAATGACTGCATCTGGAACATAAAACCTGTAAGAAAACACAAACTGAAATTTAGCTATATTTACAATTGTTTTCGTATGTCGAACCTAATCAGTGATCTTAAACCAAAGTTGTTTCTGTAGTCGAACAGATTTTATAGCCGCAAGAAATGAATATCTTCCCCACACACCCTTGACTTCCACCTCTAGTCCCCATGTAAACATCAAAAAAGCAATATGCAGCCACACACTGCAAACAAGCTTAGATGACTAATGATCGGCTTTATGGAGTCTATTGTGGAGCTGTGGCTGATCAGCACTGCTCAGTCCAGGGAATGTTGCACACGGCGTTGCACACACATGCAAGTGAACACACCCTCACACACACACACACACTCATAGAGCACTGAGGCAAGGCTGACCTGCCACTCCTTGCTGCCGCGCTTGCGTCCAGAACATTTGTGACGCTAGTGCAGCTGAAAAGGTGAAGCAATCTTTAATTAGTCTTTGTCATTGTGTCCGATTTGTCACTGAAACCTCCACCCTTTCCCCTCACATTTTAAAATTAAGCTGGAATTTTAGTTTGAGTCAGGTTGTAAAAAAAAGTGTAAACATTGTTTCATTTCGTCACTGCCTCTGATTTTATGAGGGTATTTTACAAGTTGTGCAAACTTTGATAAGGCATCCTGCTCACATTTATCTGAGTCATTTCTAGAAGAAACTCCTGACCCTATGTTTAAGGGTTTAACTGATCCAGTTTCTTTCACGTGCTGCAGCCGAATGAGGAAGTCTGTTAATGTTTGTGGAGTATCAGGTCACTCACCACCTGCAACCGAGTTATGAAATCAACAACTGGACCACTGAKTGTTTACTGTGGCTATACTCCTGCAAGCTTCAGCAATAAACTGTTATGAGGTTGTTGTTATTTTTCCTTCCTTGTTTGGGAGTCAAAGTGTKGGTTTCAGTTTGAGGAAGCTTTACTGCCCGTCCTGCTTTATTTACCCATATGGATAAAATATCTTTCAAAAAAATATACCAACTGTAGAGCAGCTGGAAGTTATATTAGCTGAACCATTATTAGTATTTGCATCCAAAAAACCTTGACAACCTTTTGTTTATTGTTATTTTGTTTTGGCAGCCTTGGTAATAGGGGGTTAATTAAATCTCACATGACTCCTCTAATTAAAACAGACAACTTGCTTTTGCTTGTCTGCCTCTGTTGCTGTGGCGTTGGGGCTGCTGGACTTTGAGTTTCATGTTCCAGAGATCCCTCGGGCTAAAATAAATAATGAGGATTAAGAGAAGGAAGGGCAGTAGACAGCTGTTTGGAGCTAATTCTTTCTGATTAGTTGGGTTYGTATGTTGGTGTGTGGAGTCAACAATATCAGCACAATGAAAGGCTTCTGACAYAAGCTAAAAATAAAAATTAAAAAATGTGATATATATATTTCTTTGATTTGAATAAATCCCTCAGAATAATCACTTGGAGATATTTTGTATGTGCTGTGGGGTGTGCCTCAATATTTAGATTGCATGCTTTGACTTTCTTTGCTGTCATGAGCAGACATGTCGAGATATGTGTCTGGGGCATTACAGCGGCACCTGCGTTGCTGATAAACAAGAGCTGAGATCATCTGTTTTACTGAACCGTTTTTGTCATGCTAAACTTCACATTGAAACCTTAAAAATCCCCTAATTTAACTCCTCCAATAATATAGACGCATGCAGTATGTCGGTCTACGTGTAGAAGTAGTGTTGAGACAGCTGACTCCATCCTTGTTGCCTGTCAGAACCTGCCTGGCCAGCTGAGAAAAACTGCAGGAAATGAATCTACATTTAGGGCAAAAGAACTCACTTGTTCCTTGCTAAACAGCAACACTCCATTCCTCATACTGATGCGTTATTGTGTAACAGTCTAGTCATAATACTGAAAGCCAGTAAACTGCACATCTTTGATGGAATGCATATCATCTGCTGCCATGCATATCATTTACAAAATATATTGTGTAATCTAGTATTTGATGTGGATGACTGTAATTTACCAGAATGTCAAATTTGAGCTCAATAACTGTCAAATTGGCAGAGTTGTAGACATTTTTGTGTTTGCTCAGGTTGATTAGCCGTGACGGCCATCTTGAAATGATTACCTTGAAATGGTGATCAGTTGTAGATATACATGTGAACCTTATTTTTTGTGAGTTTAGTCAAAATTTGTGCCCTGGTTGATGAGATATTTTGCCAACAGACCTTCAAAAGAGCACAAAAACAAGTACACAAGTAGAGGCAGTTACATAATCGCCCTCGTTTTATGGCAGCTAACCATGCAGTAAATATTGAAATGTGGACTGACCAACATTTGAAGTTTTGTGTCAGAAAAATGACTATTGTGTACATATACTTTGGACCTGTTTTATCTGATTTTCCCGTAAGCAGAGCGTTCGTCCCTCTCCCGCATTCTGTGACACACCACATCTTTCCTCTGAAGCGCCTCAAACGGCCTTGCATATTCTGGTCATAGAGGTTGTTTTTACTGTTCTGCTCTTCTTCAGAGAGATTTAGGTTCTTGCCAGGATAAACACAGTTAGCTGACCTGAACCAGAACCTGCTGCGTCACTGAGATTTGATTTCTGCTGTGGATGCATCCAAGATTTTTTTTTTAACATGAAAGCTGGCCAAGTTCTGACTGCACAGATCAAATTCACCAGGAAAAAAAGTTATGAACTGAGACAATGTTTTGTATAATTACTGGCTTTTTGTGATCAATAGATGCCCCCAGTCTGTGGAATAAACCCTCAGTGATGGATACTTTATAGAGTTAAGTTTTTCAATAGTTATCTAAGAAGGTTTTTATTTTTTTTCCTGCAGTATGCCAGGGTGTCACCAACCGTTTAAACCTTCTGGGTTCTAATGAGGACCACTACCAGAACATGGTGAAGACCTACAGCAACTGCACCGTGGTCCTGGAGAACCTGGAGATCACCTACATGGAGAACCACCGTGACCTGTCTTTCCTCAGGGTAAAAAAAAAAAAAACGAGCTCTGTTAACAGATGAACAGGAACTGAAGAAGTTTCAATTTGCTTTTTAAGAAAGTTAAAATAAAAGGAAACCACTTTCTGATTGGATCGTTGCTCAAAGCTCAGCTGTAAAGACAAGGTTTTGTAGTCTGGGTAGACGTGATGTGTGTGTGTCACATCCAGACTTGCCCACACAAACACAGAATAGCACACAGTCAGCAGATATGATGCCGCAGTTGCAAAAGGGACTTTTCAATGTCCCATGTGTGTCTCCTATACGTTCACACTAATGCATCACCCGAAAATGCAAAAAACAAACAAACAAAAAAAATTTTCATGATTTTGAATTCAAAATRTACATACGACAGACATTCTTCAATTGCTCTAAATGTAAAGTTTATATAAATAATCTAAAACTTAGCACAAAAAGGAAAGGAATGCTAGATTGTTTCTTAGTTGTAACAATGCTTCTCGGCCTGTTAATTTCCCTTTTTAAATGGTGCCACATTTGTAAGGAACATGCATTTGTGGGATAAGCAGTGCAGTTGAGTATGTGGGTTGCGCATGTGAAAAATTATCCAAGTCTTCTCTGCCAAACAGCTGATTTTGCTGTTGACACTTGTTTTGAGTTTGTGGTAGAAGATTTATTGCCAAGAAGAGTTGTTAACACGTATCACGTATGATGAGTTGCAAACATCAGCATTTTAAAACATAAGTTTAAATATAATGGTTGTAAATACAAGAATGTCACATGCTCATTATCTATGTAGTGTGATAATACTGTAGCTGGAAATATTCTCTGCCTTATTGGAGTTTTCCTCCAGCTTCCTCTTTAAATTCTTTCCCCCTGCAGTCGATTGAAGAAGTGGGTGGTTACGTCTTGATTGCTCTCAACACGGCCTCCAGGATTCCTCTGGAGAACCTGCGCATCATTCGAGGGCATTCCCTTTACGAGGGGGCGTTTGCTCTTGCTGTGCTCGCCAATTATGATAAATCTACTGGTCGGGGCACCACTGAGCTACTTCTAACCAGCCTCACAGGTAGATTAAAAGATCTAGTCGTCACTGACAGAAAGGAGGAAATACTGTTTAATTTAAATTTTTTTTAAGTTTATTGAAATCATATCTCATGTCTTTTTACAGAAATTCTAAAGGGAGGTGTAAAGTTTGCGAACAACCAGCTGTGTAACGTGGAAACGATTCAATGGGATGATCTTATCAACAGCGAAGCCACACCCAGCATGGAGCGCCCGAAGGCGAGCAACAACCCACTTTGTAAGTGCCAGGCTTCACCGGGCGAGAAAAACAAGGCAGAACTGGATTAATCTGTGTGCTTTTTTAATATCTGGTTGTAAAAATAAAAACACCATATTCTTGTCTTCTTTCCAGGTCAGAGATGCCACTCAAGCTGCTTCAACAATTCGTGTTGGGCACCAGGTCCACAAAACTGTCAGACACGTAAGCTCTTTCGACATAATCACGGCACGCAGGCAGCAAAAACAAATTTAGCCATCCTTTCCTTCATTTTTCAGCTTTCAAAATCGAAACTCTCTCGCTGCTCTCCCTTCTCTGCAGTGACTAAGCTAAACTGTGCACAGCAGTGCTCCAAGAGATGCAAAGGACCTTCACCCAGTGACTGCTGCAATGAGCACTGTGCAGCCGGGTGCACGGGGCCCAGACCCACCGACTGCCTGGTGAGACTAAATAATAATAATTTCACGCGACTGCACTGAACTCTCCTTTAAAACAAAGCCCCTTTCTAAGCAGCGTTTGCTTTCACGATCAGAGATGATGTTTTTAGTTTTAATACCAGCGAGACGCGTAACTGCTGATTAAATCTTTTATTTGGCAGGTCCTTGAGTTTCAGCGTCTGCTCTCCCTCTCCCCTCGCAGCTTTGAGAATTAAGCCAAAGCCATGAAAGTGGAATGCAGTGTTATCATTAGCAAGGGGCTCTGTTTTGGTCCCCGGCACACTGGGATGACTGTTGTTTGTGCTGCAGGCCTGTCGGGACTTCCAGGACGACGGGGTGTGTAAGGACTCCTGCCCGGGCCTCATGCGCTATGACCCCAACCTGCACCAGCTGGTTCCTAACCCTCACGGAAAGTACAACTTTGGGGCCACCTGTGTGAAAAGCTGCCCACGTAAGCACAGAAAATCAAGCGATGTGTGTGTGGATTTTACTGTTTACAGAGAAGCATGCACGTTTTTTTTTTTTTTTTTCAATCTTACTCTGTTTTATAAGATTTGCCCAGATTGTCCTTCAGGGTTGTTCTGTGGTTACAGTTTGTACAAGTTTAATCATAAACTGCAGAAATGAGGAAAGAAATAACTGAGTTTCAGGATGTGTTAATGCAACATCCCTTCTTTTGAATTTTAACTTGCTCTGATTTGTTTCTGCATTACTCACTGTCTAATGTGTGACCAACATGTACTTCTTGTATAACCACTACAAACTGTTACAGTTTAAAAGAGCCTGTATTTTTTTAGCTTTTTAATAGCTCTCCTATAACTTGTACATTTTAAAATAGCCTTGCTCATATCTTGCTATCATTCCAGATAACTATGTCGTGACTGATCATGGAGCATGTGTGCGGTTGTGCAGCGGTAACACATACGAAGTGGACGAAGGAAAAGTCAGGAAGTGTGCCAAATGTGACGGACTGTGCCCCAAAGGTTAGAAGTTAAGCTGTTATAAAGATGTTTCTAACCGTACATGGAATAGACAGAGAAGAGGTGGAACTACCGCTCAGATGACTTGGATCTTTTAGAGTCTAAAATTTAGACGGAAATGTTTTAATGTTTTGTCCAAGAACGGTCACCATTTTAAATAATGAAGTCATGTGACACACGTGTTCTACAAYACAGCCATCAATATTTCAGTCAATCTCAAAAGGTAACCTATAATATGAAAAAAATGCATGCATGTAAACAATTCATTATCAAACAGTAAGAATATACAGAAAATATACAATACATTATATAATATGTCTTAAAWAATCAATAAAGGGTTGTGTTGTAAATATGAATAATATGAATTAAGAGAGGCACAACTTGTCTGTCAGTAAAAGGAGATAAACCACAAAATAAATGCACATTACAACTGAATAAAGGAGCTAGAACAGTAAATGCCAGATTAAATCTGACCTATGTATGCATAAAATATTATACGTAGAAAAACTTTGCATAAGAAAGGTCCTCTATTAAATCCTTTTGGGGATAAAGTYTTAACTGCATGTGAAAAAGCTCATATAAGGAGTAAAGAGATTAGATCACCTCCTCTACACTGAGGTTTCAGGAACAGTGTACCTTAACAAAGAGATGTTGTGTCTTTCATCAGTGCGTTCTGCAGCCACTACACTAGATGTGACTTTGTTTCCTGCAGCCCTGCAACATCCAGCAGTTTGAGTCTTGAGACATCGAGCAGTTTTACCAACATATTCCAGTTCACAAAGACATTTCATCATATCGATGGCATTAGAGGCAAAACAAGACATGACAGCTTTTCATATTGCATTTTTTCCTGTATAAGAATGATTGTTAAGACTGTTAAGACAATTAACAGGGGCCATTTTGGATTTGTTATCAGTCTTTTAGGGCTTGCTCTAAAAGACTGATAACAAAGCGGTGTCTGTCAATGCCACCAACATTGCCAAGCAACCAAATATCAACTCGGTGGTAATAAAAATGTCAGCGTTATAGCTAATAAAATTAGCTGTGGTAGCCATCTTTAATTTTTACATTTGCATTCAAATGTTGTTGATGATTATTGTCAACTGCATTTATACTAGTTTTTTAGCTTTGTGTATCTAAAATTACCTGAAATATGTTACTTCCTCAAATTAGCATAAGCCCTTTCTTTAAAGATTAAGATTTCAAAATGTCATGAGTATTGCTCTTGGCTACCACCTTTTATAAACTTTAGCTAAATAAAAAAAAAATCTGAGTTATAACTATTTTATAGCTTTGGTGGCCATCTTGGATTTTGTATTTGCATTCAGATTTTGTTCAAATATATTCTTGGCTACTACTAGATAAATTTTCAGCGGTATATTTAAAGGCTGAATTATAGCCCTTTTGTAAAATTTGCATTAGCGGGACTAGCAAACATTCTTAGCTACACCACAACAAAGTCCTGCTCATTATGTCTTAAAATGGCTGCATAATAAAGTTAGCTGGGATGGCCAGCTTCCATTTACGATTAGCAATTTTGTTTTATACTGTACTGATTTTCAGTTTTGTTTGCCTAAAAAAGGCTGAATTATAGTGCTTTGTCTAATTAGCGATTATCAGACAGCTTGAAGTTGTGAACAAAACAAACATATTTGTTTAGATCATTTTAGGCCACTATCACACAAAATTTCAACAAAAGTCTTTCTCCACCCCTGACAAATAATAACCCCTACTTTCAACATAGTATTTATTTATTCAATTGTTCTCAGTGTGCAATGGACTTGGGATGGGAGACCTGACTCACACCTTRTCTATCAACGCCACCAACATCGATTCCTTCAAAAACTGCACCAAAATCAATGGCAACATTGCTATCCTTAAGACGTCATTTGATGGGTAAGTCTGAACGTTTTGTCAATTTAACGGTTTCAGCATCTGTTTTCAAACTGCCATTCTGACACATTTTCCTAATTAAAGGGATACATACACCAAAACACCAAAGATGGATCCTTCTCAGCTTGATGTGTTCAAAACTGTTAAGGAAATTACAGGTAAAGGTCTCGGAAAACATGAGTAATCGGTGAAACATTTCGTTCCAATTAACGCATCATTTGCTGCTTCAGGACATTTGTTGATTCAAAAGTGGCCGGAAACGATGAGATCACTCAGTCCTTTTGAAAATCTGGAGATCATTCGAGGAAGAACAAAGCGGTATGTTCCTTCTAAATTCCTCCATTTGGGTTTTAAATGCTCATCCTTGATGAAGAAATTAGATTCTTTAGAGTCATCTGTGTCCGTTCTTAGTCAGCTGAGGGATGGGAGTTCCACGTAAATACGCCTTTATTATGCATTTAAAACATCTTGTGTATTATCTCAGAAATTCTTTCTGTTCTCCAAACTCTTAGGAGTTATTTGAATGTTGAGAATAATTTAAGACTCTCACACAACCTTAACTGTCTTCATCTTGCTCCATCGTTTTGTTGGGTAGGGGTGTCCGCAGCGTGATCATGATCCAGCTCAGTATCGACCACCTGGGCCTTCGATCCCTCAAAGAAATCAGCGATGGAGACGTGGCGATCATGAAGAACAAGAACCTTTGCTACACAAACAAAAGCCTGTGGGAGAGGCTCTTTAAGTTAGACAGCCAAGTTGCAACAGTGGAAGAAAACGCTGATGCTGCCACTTGCGGTGAGCTCTCCGCTGCTCTGCAAACATTCGATCATGCTACAGGMAAGCTCATTTCAAAATGGGGGTAATTAGCTTGAAATGATGTGTGTGTGTGTTTCAGCTCTGGAGAACAAAATGTGTGACAGGAAGTGCACCTCAGACGGCTGCTGGGGTCCGGGCCCGGACWTGTGTTTCGCCTGCCGGGACTACAGCCGCGGAGGGCATTGTGTGGACTCCTGCAACATCCTGGAAGGGTAAGGAAAGAATTCGAGTTTTAAACACTGAGATGTTCAGTCTTTTATTTTAATTAAACAAAAAGTCCAAACACGAGTCCTGCCTGCTCTGTAGTTCAATTCTTCAAAGCTTGTTGTCATTTCCAGACTTTGCCATTAGATAAATGTAAGGGTTATTGAAAGAAAGGACTGATCCGAGGTATTCTTCAAGTTAAACCCCTAGCGAGATGTAAGACAAACATTGTTGGAGAAATGGCACAAATGCTGTTTAACTTTGGAGATATTTGTCAAACATTGATGCTTGACGTGTCTACTGTTTAACTTTGCCCTCAAAAAGGAAAGATAGATTGAAAAGGGATCAAGACTTCTTTTTTTTGTTTTACTTGTTCAAAAAGAAGTCGCCCTTCAGCAAGAGTCTTTCAGCTTTATTGTTTTTGCAGAGAGCCCCGGGAGGCGGTGGAGAACAAAACCTGCGTGGAGTGTGACCCCGAGTGTCTGCGCATGAACGGGACATCGACCTGCAGGGCGCCTGTATGTGTTGCCAACCTACATCTAAACTAATATTTAAAAAAATACCAGTTTTGTGAACCATATGCATGTAGGCCTCAGCACTTGCGTAGCACGAAATCCCTTTTAGACGTTTCAGATCTGTGGATTTCTTCATCAGCAGAGACCACAATGCTGTGCTGCCACAAGACATGTTGTGTTTTGACTACAGGGTGTGCCTTTTGTGAAGAAGTTTGCCAACTGTCTTCTTTTTTTATCCTTGGAATCTTAAGTTTGATYGAAACAAGTTTGGACCCCCCGTTTTTTTTAGTGAAAACTGAGAAGCATATGGTGCCATTACCAGTGAGAAAAATGTTTATTTGCTGTATAATATTAAAGGGATCCACGAGACTTTATTTTAACTGTAAAATAACGACTGTAAAAATACTGTAGGCTGTTTAGTTTTCATAATTTGTAAACTCAATTTTTAAAACTGTTTTACACGGATGGGGCCATTTTATTTAYACACAAAGCATTCTGGGTAAATGATGACATCAATAGGTCCTCGGCGCGAGGCTGTGAGCAAGCTATATCCACCCTGAAGGTTAATCTTGGACAATATCTGACAATTGGCTCTTTTAAATGAAACCAGAGCGCACTGACAGAGAGGGGAAGGTAGAAATGACTCAGCCTGCAACTGAAAATATAGATGGAGAACCTCAGTTTAGCTTGCAAGTTTGTTGCACTAGCGTCGAGCTAATACATACTGTATAAGGCAATGGCGTCGGTGCTAAAGCTAACAGGCTAAGCTGGGGTTCTTCCTTCATGAAGCAGATCTGTTGTCATCCATCCATCATTTTCAGTTGCAAATGTCATCAGTGCGCAGCCTCGCACCAAGGACCTATGCACGTCATCATTTACCCAGAATGCTTTGCATGTAAATAAAATGGCTCAGTCCGTTCAAAATATATTTTTAAAAATTTACAAAACTGAACACCCTGCAGTATTTTTACAGTCTTTATTTTACATTTAAAATGTATGTTTATCAAATAAAATCTAATGTTACARCTAATCGTGGATCCTTTTGAAGGTTTGCCAAACCTGTGTGGCTTTTACTGCGCGACAGTTTACCCATTATGTAGAAGATAAATGCAGCTATCTTTGAGAAATTATCACCACTCTCAATGGAGTTGYAAACTTCATAAGGCTTTTTTATTTATTTACTCCTAGGGTTCTGGAAACTGTACCATGTGTGCCAACTTCCAGGATGGACTGTTCTGTGTGTCCCGCTGCCCCCAAGGCGTGCTGGGAGAGGATGACAGCCTGGTGTGGAAATACGCAGACGAGAAGCGAGTGTGCCAACTGTGCCACAAAAACTGCACTCAGGGGTAAACACGGCACAGAACAGAGAGCTGGCGTTGCATTGCTGCTTTGCAAATGTTTCTCTTTTTGTAAACTGGTGCAGAAATATGAGCCCGGAGAGTCATCTGAGATTATTGAAATGAAAMCATTTGAAAGACGTTATAACAAACAAGAATTTTACACGTATTCTTGTTTTTTGTTATTTTTACATTTGGGATTTCCAATAGTTTCTGTTTGTTTTTGTTTTCTTTATTTGTTATCTGGTTTCAGTGTTTAATTTTAGTGGTCTGTGCTCCTATATGGCACAACGAACAATGATTCAAGTCAGGACTGAGGGCACTCCCAACGTTTCCTTCTCTCAACACCGAGGCATGGTGGTATACGGATGAGCGAGAAGGGAAACGGTCCTGACATACCTTCAAACCGCTGAAGGCAGGCACGTCGACAGGCCTTCGTGACTGTTTTGCGTAACCTTTCGTGTAGGAGAATATGATACTTGCTTCAAAAGCGCCTCAGTAGTTTGGTGTTTTCTAAATGCATCAATTGGAAACATGGAAATAAATAGGTCTCTGTCCAGAATAGTTACTGTTGTAGAAAATTGCATAGCACTTGCATGTTTCGGCTGACAAGTGAAATCAAACAMGTTTTGAAGACGTACGTCAACAGTAATTGGTATTTGATGGTCTCTGACAGTAAAGCATTGTTTAGCCTCACAGAAAACCAGTGTGTTGTGGTCTAAAAAGAAACAAAACATTAACTAAAGGTTCTTTGTGTTGATGTATTTTAAGGTGCACAGGACCTGGTCTTGAAGGCTGTCACAATAAAAGGTGAGTAAAAAGGTGGTTCTTATGGGTTCCTACTTTACTACATAAATATGGCATGAAACATGTTTTTACTTAAGTTCAAATACTGATAATTAAATAAACTTATTATTATAAAAAAAATAAGGGTAGCGCCTCTTCATGATGTCTTTTCATGATGATGATCCTTGCCCTGAGTAGGTTCTATGGCTGCATGACCTGGGGGCACCTGTTCTCTTGTGAACGGATGTTCTGAACTGTAATTTCCCCTCGAGATCAATAAAGTATCTTTCATTCATTCATTCATTCATTCATTGAATGAATGCATTTACATCTAAGAGGTTTAGTTCATCTTTTGATGAGAATGCACACATTATTTTTAAGGCTTGACCAAAGTAGCTGCAATACTGCAATAKTTTTGCACGATCCGTTCATGCTTGGATGAGTACATTTCAGCCACTAGCGCATCAAATTTTATTTTACCATCTGTAAGGTTGACTGACTTACTGTACTTTTGTGGGCTAATATTGCTTTGTCTTGTCAGACATTGAATAAGGTTAACTCCAAAAGTTATTCAGTTGCAGATGTCAACCTAATGATTACTTTTTTGAAAGTTTCATTAAACTTTGTGCAGTCGTTTGTGAGRTATTTGGCGAAAACAATCACACAAATAGCGATAACAAATGTGATAAAATTGGTAAACCTATTTTATTTACTGGAAAAATACAGCTCACAATGCATACGGTATGCAAACTTGTACAATTTGAAGTTTATATTTAGAGTCACTTCTTAATTATGTGTTGTCAACTCGTCTCCAAAAAACGTTTGGACTCCAGAAACATTGTGTGCGAATGGAGGAAATTCGTTAACCTTGCCAGGAGTGGTGGACCAGCTCTGATCGCTCCGAGAGCAGAGAGTTTAAATAATCTGCATGGTCTCAAAGGAATCCAAGCAGCTATGGTCCCTTCTCACGTTTCCCAGAGTTAATGTTCGACATCATCACGCCGAACAACAATGGTGTTATTGGCAAAGCTGCGTGGAGAAATTTGCTGCCTGCCAAGAAGAACAGAGCTGCCTGTCTGCAGTTTGATAAATATCACGTGGATAACTTGTAATGTCTGTCGGACATTTTGAACATTATCTGTAAAACAGTGTGGTAAAAYGAACAGCTTGAGCTCATATTTAGTGTAAGATTTACTCATGTATTTGTATGTGTATGTATAGTTATGCATAAATCACTTTTTCTGTCCTGAAGGCATGCAGGGCTGTCCCTGATTGCAGCCGGCGTAGTGGGTGGTCTTCTGGCTGTCCTGATCGCGGGAGTTTTTGTCTTTCTGTTGCTTCGCCGACGACACATCAAGAGGAAGAGGACGATGCGCAGACTGCTCCAAGAGAAAGAGGTGAGCTCGTGGCAAATGGAGTGCTCCACCTCTTCCTCATGGACTGAAGATTTAACCTGTACGAATCCACGCAGCACTGATAGCCATCATATAATGCTGCTCAGACTCTKATTGACACAGCACATCATAAACTTACACAGCATCCTGTAATCCACTTTGAATAATAAAACTATTAGTTTTTTTGGGGACCCTGAGGCATCTGTCCCATCAGTTCAGGTCTGAGCAAACACGTAATCCTTACGTCTCGTTTGCAGCTGGTCGAACCTCTCACTCCGAGTGGACAGGCACCAAACCAGGCTCTGCTGCGGATCCTAAAGGAGCCCGAGTTTAAGAAAATAAAAGTGCTGGGATCAGGAGCTTTTGGAACCGTTTACAAGGTAATTGCACAAACACCTTATTTGTAAAATAAGCTGCTGCTGAGCTGGCTTTTTTTTTTTTCTTTTCCTCTTGAGGACTGAAAGTGTTTTCACTCATCTACACATGTTTTCAGTTTTCAGTTACAACACACATTTTTACTTTGCCATATCATGAATGACTTCACTTCAGCTGTCAGAGCTGTTGTTTTAATCACATTGAGGTGTTGAGCACAAAAAAACTGCATTTTTTGGCATAAAAATTCATAACTATTTGATTTAGAAGAATTCAAATAAATAAAAACATAAGGTTAAACTTTGCAGGACTGTTTTTAAACCTAGTTTTTATTTCATGTGTTCAGCACTTTGTTTCAGCAGTGGCTGATGTTATAGCGCTTTTATAAATAAAGTTTGATTGATTGATTGAYAGATGACAAATATTCAGTTTCCTGKATGTTTGTTGCTGTGGGTGCACCCGACAAGTATACGTGCATGGCACTAATTGTTTTGTATTGCACATTTAACCATTTGCAAGGCTGCTTATGTGCTTACTTGATCATTTATTTTCATTTTAAATATGTAAAATGGTTTAAAATAATGTGTGTCTCTGCAGGGTTTGTGGGTTCCAGAGGGAGAGGATGTGAAGATCCCAGTAGCCATCAAGGTTTTGAGAGAGGCCACGTCCCCTATGGCCAACAAGGAGATCTTGGATGTAAGTTTAATCATTGATTAATGAAAATATTTATCTAATATTTAATAATAAGGGGCAGATTCTTTGATTTTTCATTGTATGTTTTTGTTTTCTGTTTGTTAGATAATTGTTTTAAATGAAATTAATAAATTTGTAAATAAAAAAATAATAGTATTTGAAGGTTTGACTAAAATGGCCAAATCTCCATCTTTTCTCAACATGAAGTTGTCTAAAAGCTTTCCATAAAAGACGGCGGGCGAGATGCATTCCTTCATGAAATTCTGGCTCTTTCAAATTGTGGTGGTATTTCATGGCATATTTTGGACATTTGAGTAAAAACGAAAGTGGAAGTATTGTTTATTTTTAGTAATTTATAGTACTTTTTTAAAATTCAGTTTAAATAAAGCACAAAGKAATTGCCAGTTGCTTGCCAGATGCCAGCTCCACTTGAATGTATCCTGCAGTTTATAGCACAGTCAGCTTTGTTTGAACCTAATGAGCTCTTGTTTTCTTTGCAACGGAGAACGTGTCGCATTAAATAGGGACTGCCTCGTGCTGTTTTGGGAAATAGGATTTATACATTTGAGAGGTAATGTGTGGGCGCTGGTGTATTCAACGTTGAGGTGTTCTGCAGAGGAATGCAGCAGCATGTTCCAAATGCATCACTGCAAACAGACAAATGGGTTTCACGGATCCTGGGATTCTGTAGTTTTGCTGCTTCGTCACTGTATGTTTGAGTCCCCTGGAAGCAAACTTCCTGTCCTGATGTCCTGTCCAAAATGACAAAACTAGTAAAGAGGTTATTTTCTGAAGAATTCTCTAATATGCTCATAGAAGATAATTTGTCCTGCATGTATTTACACCAGTGACAGAAAACCTACTAAGTAAAGCTCAGTTTAAAGTTGTGTTTGCTCACATCTCCCTGCAAAACCAATTTTTTTTTTCATGTTTTATGTGTGTGTTGGCCACTGCTGATTATCCCCATGTATTTTCTAAAGCAGCTTTTCTGTTATGATGACTGTGAGTTTCCATTCTCAGGCAGTAAAATAAAGCTGGCTGCTAAGAAACTTATCCCCCAACAGCCTGTATCCCGCAGATGTTTCTCAAGCTATCAGTTGCCTGGATAAACATGCACACATCCACCCTGCTTACTGAGGCCACAAGCCATTTAGAAAAAAAAAAAAAAACTGACTTTTTTATGTATCGTCTCCCACCAAAACCAAAAGTACGTACATTAGATGAGGAAGACAAATAAATATTATCTTTGTCTTTATGCTCATTACAGGAAGCTTATGTGATGGCCAGTGTGGAACACCCCCACGTATGTCGACTGYTGGGGATCTGTCTCACCTCAACGGTGCAGCTCATAACCCAGCTGATGCCGTACGGCTGCCTGCTCGACTACGTCAAAGAAAACAAGGACAACATTGGYTCGCAGCACCTGCTCAACTGGTGTGTGCAGATAGCAAAGGTACGAAAGAAAACACCTGATTTTTATTCTACATATCAGTTTTTTTTAAACTCTGCTCGTTAAGTTAGTTTTTATGCACCTGTTTCTTTTTTCCTGTATCTTATGTAACGTGTAAAAACTTCTGCCTACTTTRGCTATTTAAGTAATCTAATTATGACTTCTGTGTTTTATACCTTTTTTATAGAAATATTAATTTTTTTTATATATGAAATTCCCCAAAAAACACATAAGGATCTGTTGAAAATTTTGTTCTCTTTGAAATCTATGTTTGAGCACTTGCTTTATTTTTGTCTTCTTATGCTACTTTTTAGCTTTTAGCTAGCATTTAGCTACATTAAAATAGCCTTTAGCTATTTGAGCTAGTGTTGTTTTGCTACTGAATAGCATTTTGCTACTTTTACCTAGAATTTAGCTTCTTCTAAACTTTTTGCTAGGATTTTTGCTACTTTTACATTTTATGCAGTATTTTGAGACATGAGTAGAGTAGAGTAGAGTAGAGTAGAGTAGAGTAGAGTAGAACAACTTTATTTTCTGTCTCCAACAACAGCATACTTGCATAAAAACACTCAAAATACACTTGAAAACACACTAAAACACATAAAAGCAACTGTTAAAATCAATTACATTACAGTTCTTATTTAAAATTATTTAAAGTGGATATTGCAAGCAGAATAAATGATTTTACAAATTGCTTTCTGCACCAGAGGAACGTTGAACCTTCTGCCTCACTGTTTTGCACACTTTGCGTTTTTAGCCTTTTTTTGATACTTTTAATTGTTGGCTGTTGGCTCCTTTTTCTTTTTAACTGCATTAATTTCTACATTTCACTTTTAGCTAATGTCCTACTTCTTTCAGCTTCTTTTTTTAAGTTCTGCTCWGTTTCTTCTTCAGCAGATTTCTTCAGCACTCATAATTCACACTGTATTTCCACAAAAAAAAAAGGTTAATTCTCATGTTCTTTATTATTTTAATTTATTGTTTCTAACAGAGCAGTTTTAGCATAAATCACCAGGCTGTTATTGCAAGAAGGGCTCTTATGCAATAACTCTCGCTAAACAGTTTGTTTGATTAAAGGGTATGAACTATTTGGAGGAGCGCCACTTGGTGCATCGTGACTTGGCAGCCAGGAACGTCCTGGTGAAGACTCCTCATCACATCAAGATCACCGACTTTGGCTTGGCTAAACTCCTCAATGCAGACGAGAAAGAATATCATGCAGATGGAGGAAAGGTTAGTTAACGGTGTAAAGAAACAAAATGATGCAGCAACCTGCTTTTATTTTCATGTTTTCTATCTTAAAAGGAATATTWAAAACTCCAAATTTTAGGTTTTGACCCACATACTGTGTTTAAATGGATAGTAGCAYGAGGAAAGATGTAAAGACTGAATACATATTAGTCTACAGATACTGAATGCRTATGCATATCTCAGACACTAGCTGCGTTTCCATTGACCATGAAAATGCGCAAGTTAGAATTTCGAAAATAAATTTGCTCAAYGGAAACACGACAATTTCGAAAAAACTTCCTTTTTTCGACAAAATGTTTTTGCGCTAGRATGAGGTGGTTTTTCGGCCGTATCGAAATTGGTGTGTTTCRCAAAACTGCAATGGAAACACTTTTTTCGCATCWYRGGAGTCACRTGATCAASAACYGGCTGYTTCTACTGGCGAAAAAGAYGACCAAGAAAACAGGAAGTAGAAGTAGTAGTAATATCACAGAAGTTGTAAAAGAAAGTAAACTCACTACAATTTCCCAAAAACGCAGCATACATAGTCGCTCCCAAGTATAAGGGGCTTGTCGCTGGAAAACCTCGATAAGACACCGACGTCTCCTCTGATGATGAGCGCTAGTCTCGTGGTAGCAATTATGCATGTGTTTATATTCATATATGTTTGTAATGACTTATCGCAAGAACAAACATATTCACGCGTGACGTTTATAGCATTTCTTACTTAATGGAAACACCCCAATTGCAAAACAGTTTTTTCGACATTAACAGAGTATTGAGAAAGTTTTGCGCACGCAATGGAAACGCAGCTAGTGAAACTGCTACTGATGTTTTGATTAATTTTCAGTTCTGAAATACAGGGTTTCACTGAAACGTGGTTTTAAACAGGAAACAAGACTTTTCTTGTCGAAGAAAAACACGTTTTCAGTTAAAAACATCTATAGTTTGAAAGTTCACCACCTCTCATCTTTTGTAACTGCAGACTATACCAAAAGGTTGTTTAGTAGTATCTACCCATAGAACTAAAATAGGAAAATAGGTGGAAAATCCCCCAAAACAACTTAATTTCTATCCTGCTGTTGAAGATGTTTCACCCCCAATCTGGGGAGCTTTCTCAGTTCTGAAAAGTGTAGCGTTTTATGTTTTTCATGATGTTTTWTTGGCATGTTGCAGACAAATTCGTACTGCATTACTGCTCCAAACTGGTAAGGAGTGTGGATTAGGTCAGCCTGCTCAAATAAATAATAATAATAATAATAATTAATAATCTCTACCACCTGACTGCTACACTGAGAGGGGATTTTCGCACACACACGGTATCAGTCCTGATACTGGTATGGGTGCATCCCTAACAAAAACCCTTTTCAAAAAGCGAAGCCATCCCTTTAAATATTTTAGCAAGTTAATGTCTCAGAGCCTTTCTTTGTTTGTTGTTAAAGTAGGTATAAAATCCAGCACTTGTAATGATGCCAGCAAAACAGATCTAATGAAAAACATGAAGCATGGAAAGTGATGATAAAGCTGGAAAAGAGGCTCAAGGAAACATTTTAAACACTGTAAATGATGAGCATATTTAGTGAATTTTGTATTTTTGTTTCGTCCTTCAGGTACCTATAAAGTGGATGGCTCTTGAATCTATCCTGCACAGAACGTACACCCATCAGAGCGACGTGTGGAGCTACGGTGAGTCTCAGTTTCTGATTTGTGAAAGCAGGCCCGGTAAGAGAAAACTGTGTACACAGTGTCCCAGATTGAGCCCGAAACCTCATGTTTCTTCAGATATGTAAAACAGCTGTGTTCCCCCTGAGTAATGGTTCCACTGGAGAAATATTTACTCATTGTTCAGTAAACTGGTTTAACAGCAGCCCATGCAGAGAGCAGAAAAGCCTCTTTGAAGCTCCTCATAGGATGTTTTTTTTGGACCTAACAAAGCTTCTAAACAGTTTAAGATGCAAWAGGCAGGAGGAGCATCTGGGATTTTAGCTAACAGGTAGCGCACACCTACACACCAGCAGGTTCCGATGGACAATTTTTCCATCAGGTGGGATCATTACTTCAACCCACTCGAGTCCATTCAGCAGCAGCACACGCACTCAGAGGCCTACACACTCACACACAAACCCAACATATCAGAGCTTCTTTTTTTATTTTTTACAAAGTGGGCCTATGTCCAAATCTTTTCCTGAGGGGTTGATTACGCCTTCCGCTCAATCTGGCAAATACATCAGCGTGCTGGCAGAAGTGATGGGCTTCCTTTCCTATTTTCCCCCCTTTTTTCAGTTCCTCCAACACAGAAATGCGTCCTTTCGACTCCCACTCCTGTACACTGAGCCTATTTGTCAACATTTTGAGAGCGTGTACATCTTATCAACTACCGTTTCTTCTTTTTTTATTTTTATTTTTTTATTAAGTGTTCAAAATGAATTGAAAGACAACTCATCAAACTGACATTTACCAACTGTTCTCACTTCTGTGCTGTAGGTGTAACCGTCTGGGAGCTGATGACGTTCGGGACCAAACCATACGATGGGATTCCAGCCAGTGAAATAGCCAGGATCCTGGAGAAAGGAGAGCGTCTGCCTCAGCCGCCAATCTGTACCATAGATGTCTACATGATCATGGTGAAATGTAAGCTTAGTCCTGGAAACTAGTTGTATATTCCATTTGTGGAACTTTTAAGAGATGTCCTGATGCATCTCAGTAGTCCAGGTAGAAAAAACAAAGAAAAAATAAGTAGGTCCTCTGGATGGGTTCTTCTTTAGTGAAACGTTTCGTCTCTCCTCCAAGAGACTTCTTCAGTCTGACGTCGTCTTTAGTGAGACGTTGGACGTTGAACCCCCGCTTGCATTCACTACATACACATAACACGACACGGGTCAGATGATAGGGCACATGACCCTCTATGAACAATAGAGCTAATCAAGCCTATTGTTAGGCGATGGCCCTCTTTTGCATGTGACTAACCTGTTTGTCCATGTGGAGGCAGTGCTTATAAGGCTGAGTTCACCTGAAACTCATCAGACTGAAGAAGTCTCTTGGAGGAGAGACGAAACGTTTCACTAAAGAAGAACACATCCAGAGGACCTACTTATTTTTTCTTTTTGATACTTTTAAGAGAGTTGTATCTGTTTGAAAACCCGTAGAACTGAAATTTAAGTTTCCCAAGCAAATAACTCAWACTTTATTAGCTTCAGCTCCTTGTATGTTGGTTTTGTTTCTTATTTTATCTAACTTCAACCAAAAGATTAACATGTTTGGTTTTAATCATGCAATAATAAACATTAGAAGAGTCCAAATTAGTTCTCCTACTTTATAATGTTGGGATAGACTAGTAGCCAGATTTTCATGAGTTTCTCAGAAAGTAATTACTGGTGCACATCATGACGTGTCTGCGCAGGTTGGATGATCGACGCAGACAGCCGGCCTCGTTTTCGAGAACTGATCGCCGAGTTTACGAAGATGGCTCGAGATCCACCTCGTTATCTCGTCATTCAGGTAAGACTTCATCCCCACTTCGGACAGCCTGCACCAGCTGGCGGTCCGCTTCATTATCTTTTCGAACCAAACATTTGTTTTCCAGGGGGATGACCGGATGACCCTACCAAGTCCTGCAGATACCAAATTCTACCGCAGCCTGATCAGCGGGGAGGACATGGAGGACGGCGTCGACGCAGATGAGTATCTGGTGCCTCAGCGAGGCTTCTTCAGCAGCCCGAGCACCTCCATGACCCCACTGCTCCACTCTACGGTAGGTTCTGGTCTACAGAAAGGCTTTGAGTATCTGTCCACTTTTATCATCTTTACAACAAATTAGATTGTAGAAAAAACTCACATATAAAGAGCTGAAGTGTTTTGTTTGTTTTCCATTGCAACTTAAAGAAGTACATTATTAAACATCATTAAACTTGACCTTTATGATTTAAGTAAACAATAAAGCAAAACTCTGTACGTGTTGAACAATTACAATAGAAAAATTAATTAACCATTACAAGTGATAAAGATTTAATAATTTCAAAAGATGACTCTATTTTAGTTCAACTTCAGCTGGTTTTAATTGTAGTTGAAATCTATACCACAGTCAAGTCACTATGTTACCTTCAGTTGTTCTGAAAATGCTGTGTAATTCAAAAATAAATTTGACTTTGCATCATAGCTTTTCTTAAAGGGGCAATATCATGTAAAATCAACTTTTTTGAGTTTTATATCACGTTATAATATTATACCCTCATAAAAAAACATGCCCAAAGCCTTGCTTTGACTCATTCATGCATGTTTGAGAAATCCTGCAGTGTTTTTAGGAAGCCATGCTGAGGAGCAAAACGACAGGTGGGGACCAGAAACACCCCTGGGACTTGTCTTAAAGCCGAACTTCCTCATGGCAGGGCACCCCTTCCCACCCCCCACCCCACCCACGACTCCTTCAGGC